CCTGTAATTAAAAAATTATTTTAACTAAATTTGCAAGCAAAGGTATTTATTTCTCGAATATAAATAAAAGTTTTATATGATGCTTATTCAATATAAAAAATTTCGAAATATTGAGTATATCATATCATCAAAGTGAAAATTTAAGCGATCCAATTTTAAGCCTTTGCGACGATTTAATGAGAAACACCTATAACACAGCTGAATTTAAAGAACAAATATACTATGTGCTTCCGTTTCTTTATGATTGATTAAAAATAACTATAAAATACTTTTTAAAACTCATTATTATGGATGCAACCATCGATTCAATTGACAATTATCATGCTCATATTAGAGAATATAATCAAATTAAAGATTTTATTATTTTCTTTGCAGAAGTTATTTACTATTTCAAAGATTTAGCAAAGATGGGCTATCTTCTATTAATGGATAAAAGATTTAGTAAAGCCGCGGGTGATGTTTTTGATATAGATAATAAATATCGATTTAATATTAAGGGTTTTGAAATGTGTAAATTCATTGAAATGTTTTTTACACTAGAAGAATTTGAAGGATTTAATCATAGTTTTAAAAAATTTTATGAAGACTGTTATCATTTACATGGGAATGAGAAACTTAGTGTGTATGATAGAATTTTTCATCTTCTTGATCCCGAACTTTCAACTAGAAATTAATTCATTACTTAATTTAGTATAGTATTTATGTAAATAAATTTAATTAATAATTGCACCGGAATGTATGTACTAACCTGATTAGTCAGGTCGTGTCAGATTCTTATGAGTCGGTGCCAAAAATATTAGCAAATTTATATTTTTTGGTTGTAAATCGAATACTATCGCTTCAAATAAAACGAATTTAATATCATTTGATTCGTCTCAGTAAGAGGAATCGTATGATGCCAAAATTACTCAATTCTAATCAGTGTATCACGAGATATCATCAAAAAACGTGAGTGCGTCACAATACCCACCTGCGTCATAATACCTCCCCCTCCCTTATTGATGCTTACTATACAGCATATATTAGTTCATAGTACTGTACTAAAAATAAATTCATTGTCTCCTGTGAACCGATTATAGATGCAGGTTTCACTGGGTATATCCAAACGTAAAGATCCCAGTGGCGTGCATATTTCTGCACCTAGAACCGATTAAATTGAACTTCAGGCCAATAGAACTATTTGTGTAACGATCTACATTATACTGAAGACAACGTGAACATGGACATGTGGACACCTTCGATTATTGATACGTACGTATCGTATGCATATGCATTATAATGCATGTTGAAACTAAGTTATGACAATGAACAATCTAGATAATTTTAACAATGGCCATCTATCGCCGTAAAATAACAGTGCTTTTATTCGAATAATTGCTTGATCGCACTTAGTCATAAACTATTTTTGAATACATACCCGTATAGTCGCGAAATAACACTCCTAAATTACGTATTTTATTCACCTGAGTATTTCGAGACTCCCATGTATGATATTTCGACAAAAATTTGAACCCAACGCACATATAAAAAATCCGGTAATATATGTTAATGCAAAGCGAGCATTATTTTCGGGACGCATATAGCGTTATATTGAACCAAAATTTGATATTTTTAAGGATGAAATTTCTGGAACAACGTTCATGAGCGTTATTTTGCGACTATACAGTAATTCGAAATTAATATTATAGAATCACTTGATAATAACTAATAGTTTTTGAAACGATTGAGATATAAGTTTAACCAGAGAAATATCTGGTTAGTTAGTAATAATGTGATTTAATGACATATTAATGAGACACAAATAATGTGAATATAAATACAGATATGGATAAACAAGAATAGACAGCATAAATGGTAAATGCTTTGCTAAAAATTAAGATATAATAAAAAAAAATTCAGTACTTAGATAAATGGAGCAAAGTAAACAGGCTAGTTTACAATGTTTCATGTATTTCGAACTGTGTTCATCGCATCATAATAATCCAAAAAAAATGAAAAGAAATAATTAAACCCATTAAAATATGCGGCCAAAATATAAATACAAAGAAGAATAAATAATAAAGGGTTTAATACAGTATATACAATTACAAACGTAATTTTTAAGTGTGTCCCAAATTAGTTGCCTTAATAACATTAAAACTGAGATACATCATAATCATTATAACCGATATATATCATAATCATTATAACCAAGATGCATCATAATCTTTTTTCTGATCAAAGGTCAACTCGGGTTTGTTAGGTAAACTCGGGTTGTCGGGTGGCATTTCAACGGTTGATAAAGCTCTTGAAGAATTAGAATCGTTGGTTAAAAGTAATGTCTTTCTTTGAACATTAACTTTAAAATCCAAATCAGTGTCGTTAAGTCGAGAATTTTGTAAAATTTCATCTGGCTCATTTACGTCAAATCCTTGCTTTTCAATAATTTGATCTTTCAAATTTTTTGAAGGATCTGACGTTTGATGATAACCAGGTTCATCATTATAATCATCTTCATTAATTTCTTCAATATGTGTACTTTCAATAATAGGTGGTAAACCTTCGGTTAAAGGAGTATTTGTATTCGTAAGAGGGTCAGAAGGAGGACTATTAACTTCCAGAGATTCATCCAACGCAAGAGAAGAAACAGGGCTGTATACAATATCTGATCGATCTTCGATTGAGCCTTCATTACTGTTGGATCTCGTTCTAATTTTTGGAGAAGCATTATGATAGCTCAATTTTCTTGAATATATCTTGATATCACCGCCACCAGGAGTGTGATGAATGTTATCTAAAGAACCAATTTTGGATTTCACAGTAGACAACGGTATTTTTGGTGGTATTT